CCGTTATTTCACCTTTTGAGCTCATAATTATGTATAATATAAATATATCTCGGTGAAAGTTCGCACAACTAAGTTTTATACAAGCCTTGATGACCTTGCCAAATTTCGAAATTATCAGACTTCATTTGACCCTAGCCCCCCTACAAAACCCCCTTCAGAAAGTGCCTTAAATATCCGCAATCCATTTATAAACACTGTTATTGCAATGAAATTTAGCACAGATAACTATTATATAAATACAAATCTATCCAGCCCATTTTATCGGGATCGGTCCACATTTGCCTCTTTTAGAAAATCAGTTTTTCGTCAATAAATTGCTTAAATAAATCGGAATCGGAAGGTAATACTGAAGATAAATGTTTTATTATGAGAAATAAATAACATTTAATATTCATAACTGGTGTAGGGTATCATATGGTCTTCTTCTTACTTGTTTTTTTCATGAAAAGGAGCGCACAACAGGCCCGATAATGGCCTAGGTGTATTTTTTCGGATTTGATGTAGTATACATCCTCCTATCAACCTAACCTAAACTATGATCAGAAAATGATGATTTTTTGATCATGCAGAAGAGTCATAAATGACTCGAATGTGATCAAAAATTACAAAATATAATAGCTGGGAATTATTATTTTCAAATTCCATTATTAACTATTAACAATCTGATCAAATCATAACTTCGACTTCATGCTTTAAAATAAAAAAAAATAATTTTGTTTTTTTTAAATTTTATTTTATTCGTTGGTATAAAAAATATATATAAATTATTGTTTTTAAGTTTATTAGATATATAAAAATAACTTATAAATTACTAATTTATGTATAATTTTACAAAATATTCTTAATTTTTTAAAACATTTTAAAATGTATTGTGTAATTACAAAATGTTATAAAAATATAAAACTATATTATTATTGTTAATTTCTGTTTTGCTTAAAATTATTATTTATATTTATTATTAAGTGTAATTTTTTTATAAAATAATATCACAAGTGTAACTTAAAGAATACTCATTTTATTTTTTCTTAAAATTTAAAAATGTTAGACAATATTTTTTTGAGCCTTAGAATTTAAAACTTAAAATTACAAATTTTTTTTATATAAAAAAATATTAATTTACAAGATATGATTTTTTATATATATAAATCAGTTGATTTTAAGTTGTTAGTTTAAATCAAATCTGAAATATTATTGTTTTAAGGAACAATACATTATGTTGTGATATTTTATTTTAGAATATTTTCCTGAGTTTTTTTTTGAGGAAAATATCTAATTTTAGTTTTTAATTTTAAATTTAAGTATAAAAAATATATTTTTTAAGTACACAACCGCAGTTTGTTTTGTTTTTTAGATGTGTTTTATAATTTTTGTACTTTATACTTTTTGTTAAGGTTTTAAGTTTTAAGTTTTATTTTATTTTTTTTTTTTTTTTTGGGCAGAATTGCTTAAAAATTATTGGTAGTGTGGTAAAAATTAGCTGATTGTTTTTTATTTTAAAATTTTTTGTTAAAATAACTACAAAACTTATAATATAAATTAATATTAAATTATAATTTTAAATATGACTAGAGTTCACACTCGTTTTTGGGGAATTTTTTAAAATTAAAATTTAGTTTTAACTTAAAATACTAATACTGCACAGAATTCGCCTGAATATTTTTTTAAAAAGTAATTTTAAATTTTTAAACCAAGAAATTATTAAATTTAAAGAATTTTTTGTATTTTTTGTAAAACTATAATGAGATCTTAAAAGAAGCTGATTTTTTAAGTTAAATTTAAATTTTGAAAAACTTATTAAGAAAATTTTTAAATTATTGAAAATATCTAAAGTAATTTTTGATTAGTTCTCTTATTCAAAACAACTTGTTCTTAGACTAGTTACCTTGTACATTACCTTATCATTTTCACTGCAATATGCTTATTAGTTTAACTCTCTTTTTTCACATTTTTACTCTTGTTTTCTCTCTCTCTCTTTAGTTCTTGCATTTGGTTTCGTTGCTTATAACTAATGACTAGAGCTTTCACACTCGTTTCTTGGGTTTTAAACTAAAGTTTACTGTTACATAAACTTTAGCTAAAGTTTTAAAATTAAACTATAGTTTTCTTTATGTAGATTAAAGAGTTATGTTTAAACTCATAACTTACTAACTAAATGACTAGAGTTTACACTCGTTTTTCTCTTTGGTTTTAACTAAAATTAACTGCAATTAGGACTATTTGTAACTATAATTCCGGACTCTTAAGCTTAAAATGACTAGAGTTTAAAATCTTTGAATAAATCAAGTTTAGCAAGTTTTGCTAAAGGATTATGAAAAGAAGTTTAACTAAACTTTGTTCAATTTTTTTTAGAAAAATTTTAAAATTTGCTTTCTTAAAACTAATGACTAGAGTTTAAACTCTTTGGTTTTTTGAAAAGGAATGACTAGAGACAAACAAATTTTCAAATTTATGAAAAAATTTTAAATTTTAAAGGGTTTTTGGTAAAACTAATATGACTAGAGTTAACACTCTTTTGTTTTGAATTAGAAATGACTAGATAAATAAAATTAAAAACTAATGACTAGAGTTAACACTCTCTTTGGTTTTGAAAAGTAATGACTAGAGTTAACACTCTCTTTGGTTTCGGTAAGGAATGACTAAAGAAGTACCAAAACTTAAACTAAACTTAAACGGTAATTCAAAATTTGACTAGAGTATAAACTTTTTGGTTTTTTCAAAAGGAATGACTAGAGAAGTATGGTTAAAGAACTAATAATTAAACTTTATTATTCAAATCAATATTCGAATAAAAAGTTTATTACTGAAGTTCCCGTTTCTTTAAACTAAAACTAAAGACTAGAGTTTATGCTCTTTGAATTATGTTTTTAAAATTTTGAATACGATTCTAAATTGAATGACTAGATTAACACTCTTTGGGTTTGAAAAGGAATGACTAGAGTAGAACTTAAACTGGTTAGTTAAAATTTTTGGTAAATTTAAACTCTTTGGTTTTTTTCAAAAGGAATGACTAGAGAAGTATGGTTAAGGAACTTTAGCAATATTCGATATATGAACGAACAATATGAAGTTCCCGGTTTTGAACTAAAACTAATGACTAGAGTGTATGCTCTTTAGAATGTCTATTTTGAATAAAATTCTCTTTAAATAAATCGTTATTCTACGCTTAAAACTAATGACTAGAGTTTACACTCGTTTTTAGGTTTTTCTAAGAAACTCTGGGGACTAGAAAATTTTCCTGACTAGAAAATGCTAAAATCTAAATTTAAAAGTTAAGTATAAGACTAGAGTTTACACTCATTATTACGTAATTTTAAATTAAAAAGATTATGAATTTGCTAAAAATCTATAAAAAGAGATAGAGTCAAATAAACTAGAAAGAGAGAGAGAAAGAATGATAAGAGAATAGTAGAGAGAGACTAACACGGATGTAGTAGAGAGAATTAGCAAGTATAGACGAAATGATAGTTCGAAAGAGAGAGAAAGAATGATTTATTTAAGAAGATAAGATAATAGTAGAGAGAGAGACCTAACACGGGTGTAGTAGAGAGAATTGGTAGATATAGACAACTAAGCACTGATGAGGTAACAATGTTATTTTCCTTGAAATGATAATTCGGAAGAGAGAGAAAGAATAATTTCTTTAGGAAGATAAAAAAATAGTAGAGAGAGAGAGACCTAACACGGGTGTAGTAGAGAGAATTGGTAGATATAGACGTCTAAGCACTGATTAACTAAGAATCTTATTTTCCATGAAATGCTAATTCGTCAAAGTCAAACGGGAAAATGTATCGTAGAATAAAGGAAAATGTTTATTTTTATTTGGACCTAGTATTTACTCGATATTTATGATTAAATTTTGAATATTTTTACTCAAATCGGAAAGTTTAACCTCTTGGGCTTTGATAAACAAATAAATTTAACTTTACAAAAACAAAAATAGTTATTTGTAACACAAACAAATGTTTTCTTTAACATTGAGAAAATATTTTTGAAAAATTTAATAAAAATTAAAAAAACAAAAACTTAAATATTTTGAAAATTTATTAAAAATTCAAAAACTCAAAATTTAAACATTGAAGCGAAACAAATTTCAAGAAAAATCTTTAAAATTTCAAGCGGACAAACGATAAAACAATGGAAATATTAAAAATTGAAATTTAAAAAATTTTGGGAAAATCTTCAAAAATAATTTAAATTTTCCAGTTAAGAAATTTGAAAATTCAATCAACAAACATTTTTTAAAATTAACTTTAAATGTTAAAGTTTTAATGGAGTTTTCAAATTTAACATAAACATTTTTAATAAAAGTTTTAACATGGAAAATTAATGGAACTGGAAAAATTAATTAAAAATTTTAAACGATTTTATAAATTTAACAGAAACATTTTTTAGTTAAAATGTTAACACGACAATTTTCAAAATTTAACAAAACATTTGAGTAAAAATTGTAAACTTTATAAAAAAAATTCAACATTGAGAAAACTTGAACTGGAAACAATTGGAGTTGGAACACGTTGGACAAATTTAATAGAAATCAAAAACAAGGACCAAAAGTTTTATAGAAAATATTAAAAATTCTACAAAACAAAACTGATTTATAACAATTTGAGTAAATTTTCAAAAAAACTAGAAAATATCGAATAATTTTTTTGATCGAACAAGTTGTTTTGAAATTTCGTTAAGAAAGTAAATTTTAAAAATCCTTAAAATTATTAGTTTTTTTTTTAAGTCTAAAATTAAAATAAATTTATAATTTCCGTTTTGTTTTTTCAATTGGGAAAAAAGTAGAAAAATAAATATTCTTTGGTTTTTGAAAATTTTTAGCTGTAGTTTTCATCCCATTTTAAAGGATTTTAAAAATAATTATTTAAATAAAACTAATTGTATTGAAATTGACAAAACTAAACAACCCTAAAATTATATTATGTATATATATACAATTTGTACATTTTGGGAAAGAAATTCACCTGCTAGTATTGCTTATAACCCCTTATTAAAAATAATCATTACTAAATTACCTGGTTTAAATTGTTACTCCCTAATGGGCCAAAGTGGTGTGTTGTATAACGGAGGCACAATTACGTAAATTGGTTAAAGCGGCCGCTGCTATATTCTCTTCTTCGGTTAAACCGGTCTCTATGATTTGCAAACGTCCATAGCCTTGCGATGACGAGGTAGAGCTATAATCCGACATAGTTTCATCTTGATCATCGTATAGAGGGGGTTGTTGCGTTTGATGGGTATTATATAAAACTTCAGGCTCTTTAGTTGTTAAGGGGGAGGTGGTGATTTGTGCTATGGTGGTTACTGGTTGTTGCTGGTGTATGGGTGAGCAGTTGGCCGATGAAGTTGTTGTAGTATTCTGAGTATCTTCGGATTTTTCTTCTTGTTGTACTGCTGCAGCTTTTGGCTGATGTGTCAATTGATGTTTTTTGAGATAAGCCTGACGTTTGAATTTCTTGCCACAGTCTTGACAATTATATATAGTTTCAGAATCCTCCGATTTTTTACTCGATTTCTGTTCCTTATTCTCTTTTTTATTAGATTGTGTGGAACCGGAACCTATAGTTGCCACTGTGCCATCTTTACGTGGCTTATGCCAACGCCGATGAGAAGCCAAATTAGCAGGACAATTAAATTGTTTGCCACATTCGGGACAACGATATTCGAGTAGTACAATACAGGCACAACGATGTTGGGCCAAACCGAAAGCATCATCAAATTTAATGCGACACAATTTGCACACATAATCACCTATAACATTTTTAATGGCAGCCAATTCGGCTTTAGTTTCTTCGGTTATTTCTACGATATTGTATTTGGGATCAATATCACCATTGCTATACTGCATGCTGCCATCGGTGATGTCTTCTAGGGGGCGTATAATGGTACCCGATACTGGTGAAGAAGTTTCTTCATCGAATTTAAGTTTTCTAGTGGCCTTATTGCTGCGATTATTTTTTGTGCTGTTTGCGGCTGTTGAAGTCTGATTTTTGCCTGTTTTGGGTGCTGTATCCGAAACTTTAATAGGTTTAGCTGGGGTATTTTCTACCAAAGGTTGTGGTTTATTATTATTGTTGTCAATCTTATAGATTTTGGATTGTTGATTCTCTTTGCTATCGCTTTCAGCTTCTGAACTGGTTTCTGAGAATTTTCTCTTTTTAGTGGGTGTCAAGGGTGGGGTTATGGGCTTATTATGTTGTTGCTGTGTTATGGTGATGGTAGCTGTAGTAGTGGTGGTGTTGGTTGCTGCACTGTTAGTGTTAACAGCATTCTCACCCTCACCGATCATTTGACATTGTTGTACCAATTCATCGATGATTTCATCACTTGCCTGGGAAGCAGTATCACTGCAGGGTTCAGTATAAATCTCGGTGAAATTGGCCGCCATGGGCACTTCACATTCCAATTGAGGCGACATAGATTTTCTAGACAAATCCAATGGAATTTCACATTTAGTTTTAATATTCAAATAACGACTGCGATATTTGGGTGGCAGCGAAGCCACTGTGGTCAGCAAACCCAAACCATGAGGCATGCCTCCTATAGAATGGGCATAGGTGGCATTGCTAAGCATTTGTAAATTATGTTGCGTTACGGTAGCCATTGTTTTAAAATTTGCACTTTTTTTGTACCGGCTTTTCGTTTCAAAATTTTCTTTTTATTTTAATAATTTCCAAATAAATTTTTTTAAAAAACAACGAACACAAATTATTTTTAACACTTTTTTTTTACAAAAACATTTAAATAAATTTAAAGCAAAACTAAAATTAAGTTTTAAAATATTGCAAAAGTCTTTGTTAGACTTGGTTGGTTGTACGGCGTTAGCGATTTAGAGTAGGTGGTTGCAGTTGTTGTTGGGGAGGTAAGGAAAAACTAAAACTTAACAAAAATATATTTTTAACAAAACGTTGTAGAAACAAAAAAAGATTTTTATTATTTTGTGCTCGTTCGTTGTGCTCTATGCGACGTTTTTGTTAAGAATGACTAGAATTTTATCCTGTCTGGCAATTTATATCAAAATGCTAGTGAACCCTTAGTTAGAAAAATAACAAATAAACAAATGTATAAACAACCCAAAAGGGAAAAAATCCTACCAAAAACCAACTAATACAACAACGACCTTCCAACCAGACAAACTGAAACACACACACACACACAAACATAAATTCAGATACAACAAATTCAACCCCCATTTGAGACGGCGTTGTCCTTTTAGCCAGACAATCATTTAGTAAAACTCAAATATTAGTCACCCTTTTTTATTTTAAATACATTTCACACTCATTCACACACACACAAACAACTTCATAATTATCAGCAGCAGCAACAAACATCATTATTATGATTATGTTGCAACAACAAACGCCTGAAAGCCGGCGTCAGTGAAAGTCCTTTGCACTCTTTGGTTGTTCATACTCTCTATACATAGAACAAGGGAAACATCATGCATGCACTGCTTTTTTTTGTATTTACAACACACACACAGAAAACCCAAACCAGGCAAAAGGACGAACTGTTAAACAAAAGGATACAAAACATAAAATAACAAACAACAAAATTTAGAAATATTTTATTTGGTGGGGTAGGTATCCCTATTAATGTAAGGATTGCTTTTCATGCTGCTGCGAATTCTACTACGACTACGTTTATTTACTACAACTTCTATGCCTATGTCTGTCTGTATGTCTGCTTGCTAGGAGGACTTAGTCTACTACTACAACAACTTCAAGTTTTACTACGAGTAAGTGTCTGATTGTTGTTATTGTTGTTGTTTGTTTGGTAGTAAAATTGAAAACGGCACATGCCATAGATAGCTTTTTTTAATCACATTTGTTGCCGGAAATGCTTGTTTGTGTGTATTAGTGGTAGTGTTTGTGACTAGTACCAACAAACAATTTAACTATAAAAGTAAATTTCCAAAAAATTTTCTCTTTAGAAAGCCATCTGAAGTTATACACCTAGGACGCTATCGAGCCTATTGCACGCACCTTTATATGGCCCGTTTGCTCCTAGCAACAGAAAACTATTATTTTTCTCATCACTATGTTATTCTAATCTGGAATCAGTGTTTCCACTGAGGAAATATCAAGCACATGTGTCATAGTGGAAATCCTATGTAGCGCCCAACGTGCCTTGTTGATCCAATGTAGTGTCTCCATTTAATTTTTCGGTCAAGAAGTACATCTGTATGTCACCGGTAACATATTGATCAGAAAACACTCAATACACTCAGAAATGTCTGTATATATTGTAAAAAGACAGATTTATAGTCATCGTCGTCTAGTCTATAGTCTAGTCTATAGTCTAGTCTATAGTCTAGTCTATAGTCTAGTCTATAGTCTAGTCTATAGTCTAGTCTATAGTCTAGTCTATAGTCTAGTCTATAGTCTAGTCTATAGTCTAGTCTATAGTCTAGTCTATAGTTTAGTCTATAGTCTAGTCTATAGTCTCTATAGTCTAGTCTATAGTCTAGTCTATAGTCTAGTCTATAGTCTAGTCTATAGTCTAGTCTATAGTCTAGTCTATAGTCTAGTCTATAGTCTAGTCTATAGTCTAGTCTATAGTCTAGTCTATAGTCTAGTCTATAGTCTAGTCTATAGTCTAGTCTATAGTCTAGTCTATAGTCTAGTCTATAGTCTAGTCTATAGTCTAGTCTATAGTCTAGTCTATAGTCTAGTCTATAGTCTAGTCTATAGTCTAGTCTATAGTCTAGTCTATAGTCTAGTCTATAGTCTAGTCTATAGTCTAGTCTATAGTCTAGTCTATAGTCTAGTCTATAGTCTAGTCTATAGTCTAGTCTATAGTCTAGTCTATAGTCTAGTCTATAGTCTAGTCTATAGTCTAGTCTATAGTCTAGTCTATAGTCTAGTCTATAGTCTAGTCTATAGTCTAGTCTATAGTCGTCTCTAGTCTAGTCTATAGTCTAGTCTATAGTCTAGTCTATAGTCTAGTCTATAGTCTAGTCTATAGTCTAGTCTATAGTCTAGTCTATAGTCTAGTCTATAGTCTAGTCTATAGTCTAGTCTATAGTCTAGTCTATAGTCTAGTCTATAGTCTAGTCTATAGTCTAGTCTATAGTCTAGTCTATAGTCTAGTCTATAGTCTAGTCTATAGTCTAGTCTATAGTCTAGTCTATAGTCTAGTCTATAGTCTAGTCTATAGTCTAGTCTATAGTCTAGTCTATAGTCTAGTCTATAGTCAAGTCTATAGTCTAGTCTATAGTCTAGTCTATAGTCTAGTCTATAGTCTAGTCTATAGTCTAGTCTATAGTCTAGTCTATAGTCTAGTCTATAGTCTAGTCTATAGTCTAGTCTATAGTCTAGTCCATAGTCTAGTCTATAGTCTAGTCTATAGTCTAGTCTATAGTCTAGTCTATAGTCTAGTCTATAGTCTAGTCTAGTCTAGTCTATAGTCTAGTCTATAGTCTAGTCTATAGTCTAGTCTATAGTCTAGTCTATAGTCTAGTCTATAGTTTAGTCTATAGTCTAGTCTATAGTCTAGTCTATAGTCTAGTCTATAGTCTAGTCTATAGTCTAGTCTATAGTCTAGTCTATAGTCTAGACTATAGTCTAGTCTATAGTCTAGTCTATAGTCTAGTCTATAGTCTAGTCTATAGTCTAGTATAGTCTAGACTATAGTCTAGTCTATAGTCTAGTCTATAGTCTAGTCTATAGTCTAGTCTATAGTCTAGTCTATAGTCTAGTCTATAGTCTAGTCTATAGTCTAGTCTATAGTCTAGTCTATAGTCTAGTCTATAGTCTAGTCTATAGTCTATAGTCTAGTCTATAGTCTAGTCTATAGTCTAGTCTATAGTCTAGTCTATAGTCTAGTCTATAGTCTAGTCTATAGTCTAGTCTATAGTCTAGTCTATAGTCTAGTCTATAGTCTAGTCTATAGTCTAGTCTATAGTCTAGTCTATAGTCTAGTCTATAGTCTAGTCTATAGTCTAGTCTATAGTCTAGTCTATAGTCTAGTCTATAGTCTAGTCTATAGTCTAGTCTATAGTCTAGTCTATAGTCTAGTCTATAGTCTAGTCTATAGTCTAGTCTATAGTCTAGTCTATAGTCTAGTCTATAGTCTAGTCTATAGTCTAGTCTATAGTCTAGTCTATAGTCTAGTCTATAGTCTAGTCTATAGTCTAGTCTAGTCTAGTCTATAGTCTAGTCTATAGTCTAGTCTATAGTCTAGTCTATAGTCTAGTCTATAGTCTAGTCTATAGTCTAGTCTATAGTCTAGTCTATAGTCTAGTCTATAGTCTAGTCTATAGTCTAGTCTATAGTCTAGTCTATAGTCTAGTCTATAGTCTAGTCTATAGTCTAGTTTATAGTCTAGTCTATAGTCTAGTCTATAGTCTAGTCTATAGTCTAGTCTATAGTCTAGTATAGTCTAGTCTATAGTCTAGTCTATAGTCTAGTCTATAGTCTAGTCTATAGTCTAGTCTATAGTCTATTTTATAGTCTAGTCTATAGTCTAGTCTATAGTCTAGTCTATAGTCTAGTCTATAGTCTAGTCTATAGTCTAGTCTATAGTCTAGTCTATAGTCTAGTCTATAGTCTAGTCTATAGTCTAGTCTATAGTGTAGTCTATAGTCTAGTCTATAGTCTAGTCTATAGTCTAGTCTATAGTGTAGTCTATAGTCTAGTCTATAGTCTAGTCTAGTCTATAGTCTAGTCTATAGTCTAGTCTATAGTCTAGTCTATAGTCTAGTCTATAGTCTAGTCTATAGTCTAGTCTATAGTCTAGTCTATAGTCTAGTCTATAGTCTAGTCTATAGTCTAGTCTATAGTCTAGTCTATAGTCTAGTCTATAGTCTAGTCTATAGTCTAGTCTATAGTCTAGTCTATAGTCTAGTCTATAGTCTAGTCTATAGTCTAGTCTATAGTCTAGTCTATAGTCTAGTCTAGTCTATAGTCTAGTCTAGTCTAGTCTATAGTCTAGTCTAGTCTATAGTCTAGTCTAGTCTAGTCTAGTCTAGTCTAGTCTAGTCTAGTCTAGTCTATAGTCTAGTCTAGTCTAGTCTATAGTCTATAGTCTAGTCTAGTCTAGTCTATAGTCTAGTCTAGTCTATAGTCTAGTCTATAGTCTAGTCTATAGTCTAGTCTATAGTCTAGTCTATAGTCTAGTCTATAGTCTAGTCTATAGTCTAGTCTATAGTCTAGTTTATAGTCTAGTCTATAGTCTAGTCTATAGTCTAGTCTATAGTCTAGTCTATAGTCTAGTCTATAGTCTAGTCTATAGTCTAGTCTATAGTCTAGTCTATAGTCTAGTCTATAGTCTAGTCTATAGTCTAGTCTATAGTCTAGTCTATAGTCTAGTCTATAGTCTCTATAGTCTAGTCTATAGTCTAGTCTATAGTCTAGTCTATAGTCTAGTCTATAGTCTAGTCTATAGTCTAGTCTATAGTCTAGTCTATAGTCTAGTCTATAGTCTAGTCTATAGTCTAGTCTATAGTCTAGTCTATAGTCTAGTCTATAGTCTAGTCTATAGTCTAGTCTATAGTCTAGTCTATAGTCTAGTCTATAGTCTAGTCTATAGTCTAGTCTATAGT